CTCTCTCTCTCTCTCTCTCTCTCTCTCTCTCTCTCTCTCTCTCTCTCTCTCTCTCTCTCTCTCTTCTCTCTCTCTCTCTTCTCTCTCTATATTCTCTCTCTTATCTCTCTCTCTCTCTCTCTCTCTCTCTCTCTTAAACACACACTCTAGGGCGTCTGGTAAGGTTGATTGTGCAATGGAACTGGTTCTAAGCAAATTCTAGATTGTATGGTTTAATAACGGTTCTCTTAATGATCATTTTGGAATAATGCTAGTTCTAGTCATCATGTCGGTGTCTTCTATGAATTTTAATTGAAATCTTATACTGAAATGTTGGGAAAAGAAAATGAAACCGTGGATTGCTTTGACAGGGAGGTTTTGTGTTGTGAGACCTGTGCATTGGAACTCTTTTTCTTTTTCATGTAATTGGAGTTTTCAATTCTTTTCTCATGGGATTGATTTAGGACATCATCAGCAACACTCTAAGAAGGCGGATGCTTGGCTCTCAGCTTCTAAGGAACCTGCATTCATGGAGTCATAAGAAACTATTTTCTTATCATCTGCCCAGAAAACCTTTTGGCAAGCCGTACATTTAGTTCTATGGGGATTTTGTATAATATTTTTAATCCTTTATAATTATCATTAGCTGCAAATTTTAATGTAGTTTTGCTTGTTTATGTGGTCCATCCGTTTCATGAAGCATCATAAAGGGAGTGGATTCACTTTCCTGTTATAAATGAGATCCATGAATGATTTCTGATGGAAAATGGTCTCTTACCTACCCTTGTCACCACTATCATTTGTTTAGACGTTTTTGTCTTGTTTGGATTTACTCTTTGTCACTGGTAATTCACTGTTTCAATAAAATTAATCCCGATAACGGTAATCTGTTATTTGGCAGTGTCCCTTACAAAATTATTGGAGAAACTTGATGGACAATTTTACAGAATTTTATATTTTTGAAAAGCTAATTTTACTTTCTACTTTATCCAAAGTGATTAGCTGAAAATCACATGTTTTTTAGTCAAAATAGTTAATATATAATGCCTTTGCAATGAAGTATCTCTACTTATGGGTTTGGGATAAGTTGTAAAATATCAGTGATGTTTAGCATTGGAGGGCTAGCCGCTACCCACGTTATAGTAGAAATTATGTGCCACATGTGCGTATTCTGCCACTATTTGTCCCAAATATAGTAGTTTGGTACTGTGATCCCCTTTCCTTTTATCAATTGGTTTCCCTCCTGATAATCGATTAAATAATTTAGTTGTTTTCTTTTTCCATTGGGGAGATAAAGAGTTTATTTATTATGTTCAAATTTGTTAAGAAAAATTTCAAAATCGGTTCAAAACCTACATGTGTGTGTTTACACACATGTACATGCACATTTTTTAGTTTTACTAATTTCTCTTGCTCTTTCGTTTATTTGATGATCATGGCTGAGTGGGCTCAATTTATCCCTACCCTTTTTCATAGAAATACCCATAATATTAGTTCATTTGGTATGCAAAAGCATTGAATTGGTAGAGATGTGTTATGGTACTATTCTGGAGTGGAGCCAATTCTCTCATATCGAGATTTCTAAAATAAGCATCATTAATAGTTTAGAAACAATAGATGGAATGTCAGTGAAGTATGGTGGCTTGCATTCCGAGACAGGGGCCTTAAGGCTTAAGCCTACAAAATAATATTTGCCTAATTGCAATAAGCTGCAGGAGAAGTTGCTATAAATTGAAGCATAACATTTTCGTGGGTGAGAAGCAAGATTCCATCCCAAGGTTCGAAATTTTTTAAGAAAGTATCCCTTGGGACCGCTATGTTGTATATTTTAAAATATTCTTATCTTATTAGCAATACCCTTGTCTTGTTTAGAACTTTATTAGTACAAGTTTATGAAGCTCCAACTCAATAAATGTCTTATTACTTTGTATTGTTATCTATATATAATCATATAACATTGCAAATTTCCCACAGGACATAGCTGTTTTTTTTTTTTTTCAAAAGTTACAGACTGAACATGATTAGTTGGATTGTGATCTAGTACCTACTTATGACACCTAAGATCTGATTATGATCCTACAATTAACAATTGTGGTAAACTATAAGTGGTGTCACAAACAAACTTAGGTGAGCTGTTGTATGCTTGATTTATTACTTGCACATACGTTTGGTATTGCATGGATGCATGCTTACGCATATTGTTATCTATCTTTTATGGTTTAGTTAAACTAATTATTGATGACTCCAGGGTACTGAAACTGTCCGGTGCGAATACTTGGATGGAGCTATTAAATCTTATAGGAAAATAATGAAGCATTTTTTTTCATTTGAAGAAATTAATTAATTTAGTTATTCCTCATAGTTCCACCAAGGAGCTACTTAGATGAGGTACATGTTATGTTTCATTGATTAGAAACAACGGGAAAAGCCAAAGGATAAATCTCATCGAACTGTGGAGATAAGTAACAAGCATGCCTACTATGTGATTTGTGGACATATGTGATTTGTGGACATAGGATTTTTTTCTCAAAGTTATGTTAGTCTCTTAAATACCTTACTCATGATGCCTTTCATTTGTTATGTTAATTGAAAAGGGGAACATGTCATTGCAGTCTTTCTATATTCATTTGCTACATGGCTAACTAAGGTAATTGCAGTGTTGACCAACAGTTCTCAACAGAATGTTTCACTTCCACCCCCACCCATTAAAGTTCACATTCAGGTATGCCATATACGTACTGCTAACCGGTTTCAACTTCCGGATGGAAGACATATAGCATATCAGGAGCACGGCATTCCAGCTGACAAGGCTCGTTACTCCCTCGTTGCTGCACATTCATTTCTTTCCTCTCGTTTAGCAGGTAAAATAGCTTTGTTTCTTGGGCATTAACTCAATGAGGAGTGACTTCAATATTGACCTGAAAATTACAGATTTCTGTCCTTTCAATTGGATTTTTAATGTGAGATGCGTAGTAGACCATTATGTGATGGAGGCATTCCCTTCGGTACCTTGCAAAAAAAAAAAAAAAAAAAAATTGCAAAAAGAAAAAAAAAGAAAAAAAAGAAAAGAAAGAAAATGTGAGGAAGATGTTTTGTTTTTGTGGAGTCCATTCATTGATATGTTAAGATGTTTCCTTGTTCTTTTATGCTCAAGCACATGCCTACCGTTGTGTTTTTCTTTCAGGAGGACTTCCAGGCATTCAAACATCACTACTAGAGGAATTTGGTGTGCGTCTTGTAACATATGATCTCCCTGGTTTTGGTGAGAGTGACCCTCATCCTGACAGGAACCTAAATTCCTCTGCACTTGACATGTTGTACATAGCTGATGCTTTGGGCTTCAGTGACAAATTTTGGGTTATGGGTTATTCGGGAGGTGGTATACATGCGTGGGCTGCACTCCGCTACATTCCTGAAAGACTTGCAGGTGTGCCTGTTCTGCTATGCCTAACCAGCTCTCACATCTTCCTTATCTGACTATATATATATATATATATATATATGTATATGTATATGTATATGTATATTTCTCAGCTGGAGCATGATACAATGCAGGTGCCATTAACTAGCTATTTAATAGATGGGAATTATCATACCTGATTTGCTTATTCCCTCTAACTATTAAGTGTTGAATACTTTAAAAGGGTTCCATATTGTTGTTCTTAGCAATGGAATGCATCTATTGAGGTCTTCCATGGTGATGGCTGAGTTGTGTTAAGTGCTTTGCACATTTAAGGCCCACCTATAAGATCAAGTATATTATTAATCAACTATCTTGTCCCTAAGAAAAGATGGAGAAACTGCGTATGAACATCCTCATACTCTGAAAACATCTGTGGCCCTGATGTTTGTGGTCGATCTATATTATTATCATGGTTGCATCTCACTATCCATGGGATACATTAATGTCATAAATCAGACTAGCTGGCTTTCTGATTATTCTGTTTTGTTGTAACTGCTTGTTCATATTGATTCCCTTCACAAAGTTAGCCCTTGATTGTCATCCAACACATTTTCTCAGGCTGTAGTAATGTTAGTTGATATTTTCATAGGTCATAACATTTATCAGCATGTGGAGTACTTGTCTATTTGTTATTTTTTATTTGGTAAATACTTATCTCTAGTCAGTTGTTCAATGAATCCAATTTCCTTTATGGTCTTGTAGTATCTATGGTTAGCTGTGATCTACCCTCTATTGTAGCTTTGACTCTGTATGCTGCGCAACCTGATTTAGATGTATTGCTTTGATCAATGATACATTATCTATAAAGAACATCTATCGTTACTCCTTACGCTAACTGGACCTCCCTGACATCCATCTCCTCCATGTCTGCTCTAGCATTGGTTTACTTGCACAACCGTAGGCACTTAGGATGATTATCTGAAGGGATGACTCCTTCATACTTCTTTTGTTTTAAGATTGGTGTGTCTTGGTTTTGTCGAATCTTCCAACCAATATATCTTCTTCTGATGCTGTTTGCGCCCATCAACTTGGATCAATATTTTATCAATCTACTTGTTTTTTGTAGGAGTTTTTGAATGGAGCACCATGTCTTCTTATACCCACCCAACCAGGCTCAGGATCATCAATCTTATGGGGAAATGTGTCAACATTCTCTGACAAACTGCTAGGCAAGATAGGATATGCTTTATGAAGTCATTTATGGACTCTTGTTCGTTATAATACTGTGTGCTATTACTCGGTCTCCAAGAAAAATAAGCCTGATGGAAATGTAGATTGCCACGAAGCTCCCCTTTTTGTCGAAGTCTATAATCAGGCTTATGAATTTGATTGTCATAGGACATTTTTGAGAACTGGTTGCTATTTCTTGTCTACAATGGTGGCTTCCTAATCCACCTGGATATTAATGTCTTTCTACTTGGTTCTTCCAAAGAGAAGTGTACATGACTAAGGCCAATGGTTTTCAGGATTGTGGTTATCCTAAGGAGAGAAACATGCATGAATTGCTGTAAATGTAGGACATGGTTATTCGGGTTTCAATCTTTGCATTTACATAATAGGCTCGTATAGCAGCAGCTAGACATATTCTTTGCTCTCCCATAGGCATTGATGACCACCCTCTTGTCTATAGTAGACTTACCACTTCCTTAAATGCTGATTTAGTTGCTTCATCTGATCGTAGGTGGTCTGGCGGGCTGATATGTTTATGGTGGGGCTAATCTTTATTTCTGTTGCAAGGAAAGGTAGAAAAAAGAAATAGATAGCCATCATTGGGCTGGTAATGGACCGAATAAAGAGCCATGGCCAGTGATATCATCACTCGTGTTTACCGTATCTTCTTTGAATTGAGCTCTTCATTTTCCAGCCCTAGGACCATATATTTCATCTTGTGATCGTATAAATGCTGTGTCTATGGCAGTTAATTTGGTTTGTCACCCAAAGCCTTTTGTTCTAACTGCATATATGAAGACTTGTTGTACTAAGAAATACTGCCTCACTATGTGTTCACATCTTCGCTGTGTTCAATGCTCTTTTCATTCCAGTTCACTATCCGTCAGCATGTGCTCCAACTTGACGGTCTATGTTATATGCAAGTGTTGTATGTTTGTGTGCATGTTTATTGTAGTAACTGCGCTACATAGGAAAGGAGCCCCGGCTTAATTGGTTAGCACTTGATGATTTGCAACGCTACGTCCTAGGCTCAATTCCTACCAAGGGTTGGGGCCTTTTTCGCACTGACTCACCCAAAAAAAAACTGTGCTCCATGTATGCGTGTTTCTTTCATTATTACAAGAAATTTCCGTAATTGCTCATCTATCCTGTAACTTAATAGGTTAGTCTCAAGTCGACAGAATAATTCTTTTCTCCCAACTTTTGAAAATGCCAACTTATTTTGTGCATATCATTGCCCACTGCACTCGATTTGGAAGTTTGGTGCATTCATCATCAAGAGGTGTCTGTTGTGTTGTTTGTTGTTTGCTCTGTATTGCATGAACTTAATATGTTTTTCTTCTTTTTCCACTCTTAATTTGATGGAATATGTGTACTGAAGAATACTGTAAAAGCATTGACACAAGCTCTCAAGTTGAGGGTCAGTTTTGCTCCTAACTGCTCAAGATTTCGATTTTCTTTTTCTTCTTCCACTGTTTTGGGGATTCATTCCGAGTCTCATAGTTAGGTCAATAGGGTGTATTGTGCTATGCCTTTATATTTTTTGCATTATTCATTTTGCTCTTTGAAACATTTTTTTGGACTCATCTGCAGGTGCTGCTCTGTTTGCTCCATTTGTTAACCCATACGATTCAAACTTGAGCAAGGAGGAGGCTAACAAAATTTGGGAGAAGTGGACATTTGGAAGGAAATTTCGTTTGTTTCTTGCTCGGAGGTTTCCTTCGCTGCTGCCGTACTTTTATCACCGAAGCTTCCTTTCAGGCAAACCTGGTCAAGTCGATAAGTGGTTATCTTTGTCACTGGGAGAAAAGGTTGGCCACATTCTTTTTGTGGACCTTTCGTTACTGGAATATGGGAAGTGATCTGTAGGACCAGTTCCTGCAGGATTTATATAGGGCTCCGATATCTGTTGTCAACTCCACGACGTAGAGTTGATCTGTAGCTCCTTGTAAAGTCCGCCATTGTTCATCACAGAATTATGACTCATCCTCTTGCAAAACTCAGCTCTGTCTGATCCCTGACCTAATTCTTTAAGAGAGGGGATTGTATGGTGATGGGAGCCATTTCAGAAAGATTTGAATTCCCTACAAAATTTTGGCGGTTAATTTTTCCCCAAAACACCCCTATTCTTCTTTTTCAGAAAGTATGCTATCTCTCATATTCTTTTGGTAAGGTATAGTTAACATGCCATGTTGCTTCCAGTCTTTGTATCTTGGGGGCATGAGGGCATTTATGGAAATTGATACTTCATGCTAACAAGAATTGCCACTATGCCAATTTTTTTTATACCAGTCAATTTCTGATTTATTAATTCTTGTAGAAAGTACCCATGCTTGCCGAGACATAATTTTTATTAACACTAATGCATTATGGATTGTCTTTTGCACACCTAATAAATCCTTTGACTTTTGCTTTAGAGTTTATTCTTATTATTTTTTTTCAGGATAGGGCTTTGCTCGAGGAGCCAATGTTTATTGATTTCTTGAGGGGAGACATGGAAGAGTCTACACGATTGGGGAACCCCTCACCATTTGTCGAAGAAGCTGTGCTGCAGGTCTCAAGCTGGGGATTCAGCCTTACAGACCTGCAAGTACAGAAGAAACAAATGGCAAAGGGCTTCTTTGCCTGGTTGAAGTCCATATATAGTCAAGCTGACTGGGAGTGGGTGGGCTTCCTCGGCCCGATACATATTTGGCAGGTAAGAATCTCTCTTATTGAATTACAAATAAGTACTGGTTTCTGCTGAAATAATTGCCATATCTTTTTGACTTTGAGAAAAATATTTGTCTATTATTCGTTTCTTGATCATGGTGTTCGAAGATATAAGATCTGGAAAAACTTGATGCTTTTCTTCTTCCCATATAAATTAAAATGGACAGCCATTTGATTTTTTACGAGGAGCAAAATAATTTTAGCATAAAAATGGACAGTCATTTGACTTGTTATGATCAGGAATATAATTTTGGCATAAAATATCTAAGCTTCTTTGTGATTGTGTGAGAAAAAAAGGAATTGTCATGAGGGGATACTGGTTATATGGTTTGGACTGGACACTGAACCAGTTTGGCTTGATTCATGGTTTCAACTGATGGTTCATCGTACAAGAAGTTACATGATAATTGGATGAGGTGATGCCTGGAAAATTGGAATGCATATAAAACGAGTAGCAATGTTGAAGAATATTTTTATCTCCATTGTACAGAATATTTTTAGTTCCATAATAATTAACTTGACATAAACATTTAGTTTCTGTCATTTGAAAATATGAGTCCTTTATGAGTAAATGATTTTTTACTTGAACAAACTTGGAACCTAATAGATACATCATGGTATTCGTTTATAATTGCTGCAACATTTTAAATTGGGAAAATATTTTATATTCGCTACCAATTATAGAGTTGGGTTCTCAGATCCAACATCTACCGCCTCGGAGTAAGTGTGGAGGGCGGATATTGGGTTTGAGACTCAATATCGTACTCATACCAAGTATAGTACTTTGTCCCTTTTAAATTATTGGCTCCCTTTACTTGTGTCCATGACATTGTCCGTATCCCTACAAAACCATTAAAGTTATGCATATCTGATCCTACAATTGGCTGTTGAAGGAAACCAAGGAACACGATGTCAGACTTTAATGATGGCATAAAGTTTAAGAAAGCATCTACCTGTGTTAACATATGGATCTTATTGTCACGTCAATGTTATGTTCCATCTTCATCATTTCATTTAGAATGTTATCAGGCAATGTTTCTAGACCAATTATCCTTGTAGTGATTTATGAAGTTGTCTAGATTATCATCTTTGTCACCATCTTATCCTGCATAATTGATTTCACCATTTCTTGGCCGTGTAGCTACTTGGTATTTAACTATTAAGAGGTATTGGAATGGTCTCTTCAATTTTGAGTTCCTATGTGCTTGTAGTTATGTGCTTCTATTCAGTTTAATATCGATGTTTGTTCTCTCACCGTTGATGGTTCCCAAAGCCAAGGTTTTGCACTTCAGTTCTTGCTGTTGAAATTGCAGTTATGGCATTGTGTATGTTCTTATTATTTGATTCAGTAGGTGTTGCATGGTAATCCAATATATGTGCATTGAAAGCATGCTCCTTCTGTTATTTAGTCTTTAGTGATCACTATTTGCTGTAGGATGCTCTCAAATATATTCTACTCATAAGTTGCATTGCATTTGAGCCTCTTTATTAGAAGGAAGGGGGGCAAATTTGAATCCTGCATAATTTATTTTGTGGTCATTTACTTTTCACTTTATTTTCAACAAATTTATCAAATCACACCGAGCAGTTGAACTATGTAACATCTCACCCATGTCTTGATTGAATTGCAAATAGTCCATGAAATATCACATTATAATTTATCAAATCCTACAATTAAATGTGCAATAGGTCAACTTTTAGATGTGATTTGATAGGTCTCCTTTATTTTAACTGTATCTGACATATGAAATTTATGGGTTAGAAATTTCTGGCTAGGTAGAATTAGAATGAGAAATAATAATAGCTTATGTACGAATGTCATCTTTTCAGCAAATGGTCATTTTGTGGTGCCATTGTTATAAGCATGGTGGATTTGTTCTTAATCCTGCTGTAGTATAAGTGTTAGATAATTCGTTTCTAATCTGTGTAAAAGAATCCAGCTTATTGTTTAAGCAATCCTTTGTAGTTAAATCTCTTCATTGCAGGGTGAACCAAGTACTTAATTCTTATTCAAGGGAAGCCCTTACATGCCCTGCATGTTTCTATCAACGTGTGCAACTAGGCATAGGCTGTGATAAATGGGACTTACACGTGTTAAGTAGTGGTATCTGATAGTTTGAAACCGCATAACAAATCCTAAAAACATGCAGAATAGCCGCTATGTTCAATTTTACCCTCTTGATTGAGACCATCCACTTTAATATGCTTACAGTGTATTAGAAGGTTTATTATGTGCAGATTTCAGTATGTTGAATGGATTTTTATGTTCTCTTTTGGTATTTAACTGAAACAGGGGATGGATGATCGGGTAGTTCCTCCATTGATGACTGAGTTTGCAAGGAGGGTGCTGCCAGGTGCTACAGTACATAAGCTGCCTGGTGAAGGCCACTTCTCTTATTTCTGTTTCTGCAATGAGTGCCATAGGCACATCTTCTCTACCCTTTTTGGCAATCCACAAGGTCCCCTTGACAGGACTAAAGAGAATGAATCATCATCTCAGGACTTGCTTGAGGATATTACTGGTATTGGAGTGAATGAGGCCACAATTAATTGAGTAGTTTGGGTTACTTTTTCTCTTTCTCTTCTTCAATTAGAAAAATGTAAATATTGAGATCTATGGTTTTGAGTGCTAGCATGCGCATTCACGTGCATATTATGCGTGTGCCTGCTTTTTGCAGAAAAAAAATGCAAAAAGCTCTGAGGTTGCTGTCTTCTTTTATGTTAAGAAGGTGGTCGCTGTCTTCTCGCTGTCTTTGGCTTGAAAATAAGGGGATACGAAGAGAAAAGATATAAAAAAGGAAAAAATATTTGGTGTATTTTGCTAATGAAGCTCTAATTGATTTCCACTCCAATGCATTCACACTTATTTCTGTTGTGGTGGTGATAGATAGTGGGCCACTCAATCACCTTCAGTAGCATCATGGGGCTATCCACCATTCATTCTCGATGATGAACAATGGAGATTTAACTGTTAACCGGTTGTTTTTCTCTAAAAGGTGGGAACTGTAATTAATCTGCATCTGTTGATGTGCTAGGGATGTGTAATTACGCATGTGAGCATCAATGTCCATTCTCAAGGACGGTGGGGATGAGATCTTGAGATGAATGCAAGTGTGGTAGTTTTGCCCTGAAAATATGGAGTACTGTTCATTTAGGTATACCCATGGCCTAAAGGTTGCTGGAATGCATGAATGTTGAGGAGAGCCCAATGTGCTTATGTTTCGTGCCTGTAACAAAATCCATTTTGCCCAATTTCATTTTTTTGGACGTTCAATTGACCATTTTTGTATGCGTCGAATTTAAGAGAACTGTGACAAAAAAAAAGGAAAATAAAAAATTAAGTGTAGTAATACTGCACTTTTTCCTTATGATTATTTTCGACATGATAGTCATGGTAGAAGAAGCTACTCCACATAGTTGGGATAGGACTCAAATAATGATAATGTTCATAAGGCGATCCATTGACGATATTATTTAAGAGTGCACATAGCATGTTCCCATGGGATTATAGTTTATTCTTTTCAAATAAAAGAATTGGATTTTGAGTTTCAAAACATTTGGATTGCAAGTTTTCCTTTGGACGTCCAAAATGAACTAAAAAATAGGACCCTATCCCATTTATGTGTGTAGGATCTTAAATGATCACCATTAAATTCGGTACAAATCTTTAAAAAAATCAAGTCTCACACTCATGTAATAACTTATTTAGGGATCCATGTTAAATTTAATGGTGATCTTTTGGGGTCTTACATACATGAGTGGGAGAGGGTCCTATAGGATCATTACTTTTTACCTCAGGTGTGTCTTAGAGTTTGAGATAATTCATTTTGAGCGTTGAGCTTGGTCAATAGAATAAATGCAGCCACCTAGTTTTACATTTAATGGTCAAGATTGATTGTGACCACTATATGCCAATATAAATAGCCTCATTGTATATTTTTCCAATTTTTATTTAAACGCTTTTACTCTAGCATTTATTTGTAATTTTTTTTGCGCTCTTTCTTTAACTAAGTTGGAACTACCTTACCTAGAGTTTACGTATGCAAGGTTTTGGTGCACTCATGAGTGTAAGGTTTTGCGGCTTTTGCTGGAACTCTGGATAAAATTGTAGCTGATCTTCCTGGGACTTTTTTATTTTTTTGGCTTGGACTTGTTCGTTGCATAGGTAATGTTTGGTGATATTTCCCCTATTGTTTACTTATAATGCTGATCTGTATCTGACCTGGTCTTAAGATTGAAGTCAAACATTGCAATACCCTTTTATTTTTGTGCCATGTCCTATTTTTTTTTCTTTTTTAATAAATCTCTCTCCTTATTTACATGATTTCATCTTCTCTCCCCTGTGCCAAGTGTTCAATTTTTCCTTTTCATTAATAAATCTCTCTCCCCACCCGGACGATTTTCTCTCTTCACTCTCTCTCCATTATACATTTCTTCTTCACTTTCTCTCCATTACACATTTCTTTAAGGGGCTGTTTGGGTCCTAAAAATCTATTACATGACAATAGATTGGAAATATGATATTTTTTCTGTTTGGGTACACTTTAATAGTAAGGAAATGGAAAGAGATTGCCCGAAATTACCTTAGATTTTATGAAAAATCACGACACCAATTACGCAGGTGGTGAGGAAATGGAAAGAGAATGCCCGAAATGAAAAATCTGTTACGCATGACAGCTCATCTTTGGGAAATCTTTGGCATAGACATAGAGAGCAAAGAAGATGAACTGTAAAACTATTGGGGCCATTTTTGGTTGTTGAACAACTGAAAAAGGGTAAAAATATCTTTTTTAAACAAATTATGACTTGAAAAAGCAGACATTCCAGTAAGAAAGTGTAACAGATATATACGTAATTTTTCTTTTTTATTTTATCTAACATGCACTACTTACCATTAATGGCTATTAATGCCTCTATGTGATAACTCCCATATTAAATCTCTCCTATAGTATTTTCCTTATTTCACTCATCTCTTTTTCCTTTAAATCTCTTTCTCAATCTCTTCCTCCCAAAATATCTTTTTAGGAAAAATCTCTTCTATCATTTCTCACTGTAAACCTTCGTGCCCAAACCTAAAAGCCTATCACGCCCCACTGTATCTCTTACTCTCAAGTTCATTTCTTTATTGATCTCTCACAAGGAATTTTTTGCTCAAAAATTTTTCCTAAGAGAAAAGTATAAGGCATAATGTCTGTCTTTATCTCTATGTAGTATATTTTTCAAATTGTAATACAAATTTTGTACATATAGAAACTAAGCAGTTTGTTCTCTCTCCCAAGTCATGAAACTCAATTAGAATAAAAAACTAAGGATTTAGATTATTGAATATTTTTAATTTTTTTATTATAAACATGAACATATTAATAAAATAGTAGTTTTTCCAAATTGTAATATGATTTTTTTACATGTAGAAAATAAGTGGTTTGATCTCTCTCTCACAGGTCGTGAAACTCAATTAGATTGAAAAAACTTATGATTTAGATTCTTGAATAGTTCAAATTTTTTTACTATAAATATGAATATAATAATAAAATAATACTTATTATTACTTATTATTAATAATATTGGTTTTTTTTTTTTTTATTTTGTTTGCCTATATGTTATTTATTTGTGTTATTGTCTCTTCTACCTTTCTCTTGCTATTTTCCAGGTTTATTATGCCTCTATTATGAAATAATATTTTAATTTTAATTTTATAAGTTATGTCTATCGTGTAAGGTAAAGTCCATGGACCTTAAATATTAATGGAAAAAATGATTTTTTTTCTTCTTGATTCTTATGTTAGATTATATCAATTTTGTTTCCACCTCAATTTAACCTTTTATGATTTTAACTACATTTTATTATATTTTAGTGTTTTATGAATATTTTAACATTACAATAGTTTTTCGATGACAATAATAGCTTTCTCTTGCTATTTTCTAGGTGTATTATTGCCTCTTTTGAACTCTTTATTATGAAACAAAATTAAAGGGCAAAATAGCGATAGAAACAAAGTCGATTTATTATTTCATATAAGAATCAAAAAGAAAAAAAATAATTTTTTCTTTTGTATTCAAGATCAATGGGCCTTACGTTATAAGATAAAAAATGTAATAAAAATAATAATAACAATAATAATAATAATGATAATAATAATAATAATAATAATAATAATAATAATAATAATAATAATACTAATAATAATAATAATAATAATAATAATAATAATAATAATAATAATAATAATAATAATAATAATAATAATTTAATCTTATTATTATTAT